TACTAACTAACTAACTAACTAACTAACTAACTAACTAACTATAGCCTGGACTTTAGATCTTTAACCTATTATACACCAATCTGTATACCAGATTATAATATCGGCTATTATCAAAGCATATTGTCGACTTTAGAACTGACTAAATTCCTGGCTGCTAAACAGAATATAGTAATGATTATAGGACACACTATGGTCTCGACTGTCGAACAGAGTATAGTCTTTACTGTAAGAAGTTTCGACTATTGATTGGACAATAGCCTCTATATATATATACCAGACTACAGTCAATACTTCAGTCTCTGCTATAGATTAGAATATAGGCTTATCTATAGAGCGTACTGTAAATAACATACTATAGATTGATTTATAATTTTCGAGTATACACCGGACTATAGAGCAGACTATTGATAATACTATAATTTTGCCTATTGAGCTGCTTACTGTCTGAAATATAGGCCTGATTATGGTCTCAACTATAGTTCCGACTATATACCTGACCGTCTATAGACTAGGCTATAGTCACAATATATGCCATGCTATAGGGAAGACTATAGACCAGCCTTAATCGACTATAGTCTCGACTATAGATATAATTATAGTCTCGGTTGTAGGCAATACTATAGACCCGACTATAGTCAAGACTAAAGAGAAGACTGTGGCAGTACTATAGTATCGACTATAGAGTAGATTATATTCTCGACAATAGAGCATATCTTAGTCTAGACTATGGAGCAGATTGTAGTCTAAACTATAGAACGTCTCTTCTTTAAATAGATTATAAAGTCGACTATATGCTAGACCTGTCTACAGTCTTGATTAAGGCGTGATTCAGTCTGAATTTAGGCCACAGTCCATAGTCTCAATATAGATGAAACTAGACTATTGGAAATTATATAGTCTATACTATGTTCTCGGCTACAGACCTAACCATATTAACGACTACAGACTATAGTCCCAGCTACATACATACGTATTACATATAAAGGCGATAAGGATATACATTATGTAACTGACTATATTAAACATCTGTTTTTATTTTTTACAAAATATTTTTTTTTTTTTCAATTAATGTTAATGTATTAATAACAACTAATGTGTAAAAAATATATATTTTATCACAAACCACGTACAAACATATTAATTTTTTCAATCTTTATGTACTTTATTTCCAGAGCTGAAAAAAAAAATACTAAAGACTGGGGCAATATGGCCAATGATGATGTGGATACTGATGATGTTGTTAAATAAAAAATAAATGGAACAATTTTTTTTTGCAAAATATAAATTTTAAAGAGCTAAAATTTTGTAAAAAAAAACAGCAAAAATAATTGTTTAATAAAAATATAAAATGATAAAATATCCAAACAAATAAGGGATCTGCCAACAATTTAAGCAAACAGCATATAAAGATAAAAAATAAATAAATAAATTGTAAAAAAATAATAAAAAAATATGCATAAAAATGTTAAAAATCTAAATAAATATTTTAACTACAGCAACAAACACACATACATTTGTATAAGAAATAACAATGACATTTGAATATTTTAACAACTTTTTTAATACGACAGCAAGTGCAACAAAAAACAAACAAACAACATGTCCAACAACAGCAAATATTTGCAATAGCAATAATAATAGTAGTAGTAGTAAAAATAGTAGTAGCAGTCAAAAAAGTACTACTTTTAACAGTAGTAGCAGTAGTAAAAATTCAGCAACAAATACCAGCACACGTCTCTATCCAACTGCATTAAGAAGAAAAATACGTAAAACTTCCAGACGGAAGAGGAAACGTAGACGTAGCGGATGTTTACACAACAATGACAACAGCAGCAACTTTGTAAATATGGTGGACAATATAACGGCAACAGCAGTAGTAGCAAGAACCAACAAAACAACTAAAAGTTATAAATGTAAACTAAGTGTAAATAATACAAGGACAAAAACAGGCAAATTACAGTCGTACATTAATAAACATAATAAAAGAACAAATACAATAATAAGCCAAGATATTTTATTAGTAAATGTAAATGTTGCTTACATATTTGGAATAGTATACGTAGTAGCTGCCATATGACTAAAAGTAGTGGCAGTTGTAGTAGTATCAGTTGCAGGTTTAATAGATGTTGCAGTAATTGTTACAATTGTAGTTGTAGCAGGAAAAGATAAGCTTAATAGTAAAAAATATAGTGACACTGTTATTATCCCAAACAACACAAATAAAAACAACAGCAAAATTAGCACATGCAACAACTACAACAACTGCAACGGCAGCAGTAGCATCATCTAATAGAAAATATGCCACAAATAATGTTTACAAAAGTAAAAAAGTTCAATTACATTTAAAACAGCAACAAAAAATTCAACAATGGCAGCTTAAATATTTATACGCTCTAGGGAAATGTTTTGTAAAAACAACAACAAGGCAACAACAGAAACAAGAACATGTACATGATACAGCACAACCCCAAATAACAACAAAATTACTACTAAACTCTAGTAATACTACAACACGAACTGCACTTTCAACATCATCATCTGCAACAGCAACAAAAATAACTAGCACAACATTATCATCAACAACCCCTTCATATGTAAATACTACTAGCAACACTTTTTCTACTCTACTACAACCCAAATGCAAGGTTTTAACAACAAACGCTAACAGCTCCTCCTTAACTCACTCTTACTCCTGCTCAACGCCGTCATCATCATCATCAGCATCATCATTCTCCACATGGTATAGTTTAACTTGCCCGGCTCCAGCTTTCAGAATTCTCAATGAATTGTATGGTGTGATATTTATGACTCTACTGGTGCTTAGCATATGCCACAATAACGGTAAGTTTTCCAATTTTTTTTTCTGTTTTTTCCACTCTTCCCTTCACTCACTCTTTATTTTGTGTATTTATTTTGGTAACTGCAACCAACTAAAAATAAATTGTATGTATTAAAAAAAAAAAAAAAACAGAAAAACAAATAAATGATTGTTGTTACCACACATAATAACTGTATGTAACTATGTGCACAATGGGCTTAAAGTTAATAAAATTACATAAATTTTAAATTCAAAACAAATATAAAATTACCCTTTAATAAAGTTTATGATTTCATAAGTCATATTGACAGACATTTGGTGAGGATTGTTTTCTAGCAAACATGATTTTCAACATTGATTTGTTATTAGCTATCACATGATGAGGGAACAAATTTGTCAAAAATGCGAGATGTCCTTAACATACTACTAACATTCAGGTTAGTGAAACATTGTCAGAAAATAAGACTGTGTGTAACTTCTTAAATCATGGAAATATAACCGTATAGGTTTACCACTACGAATTTTGCCCAAATCATGCACTTTTTTCTGGGTCCTCAAAGATGTAATTTTTGTAAAAAAGTGATTATTTTCTCAGGCTCATATCTTGCAAACCGTTCGGATTTACTCTCTGAAGCAAAGTTGTAGCTCTTGTCATAAAGATCGAAAAAAAAAACACATTTGTACGTATACGTGTTAATGATTTATTGATATTACAAATATTAAGTATACGCCTAATTTTTCTTTTTTTGTAAAACGTAAAAAATCCATTTTTTTTTAAGTTTTTTGCGATTTTGATCGTGAAGATTTTTTAGAGACAATTTTTGTCTTTTATGACAAGAGCTACAACTTTGCCTCCTAACGGTTTGTAAGATATGAGCCTGAGAAAATAATCTCTTTTGTGCTAAAATGACTCCCGTCCTACTATGTAGTTGGTGAAACAAAAAATGCATGACTTTGGGCAAAACTTTTTTTGTCTTTTATCACATATGAATTCCGCGCCAAAAGAAGTAATCATCGTATCCCAGGATCTAATCAAATAGATAAAGTACGGGCAAGATTTCCAAGGCCCGTCCTACTACTGTAGTTGGTGAAAAAAACTTTCAAGATATTGCAATATGTGACCGATCGTTATCATATTTTGAACGATTTCGGTCATGATTCGCTTTAATCGAATCACAAGGTTCCTTCTGATTGTCTAGCCAGTTGTCAACAGAGCGATAACACAAAATATAGAACATAACGTTAACGCCATAGACATTTTTGTGTAGATTCGGGTGGTTGGTCGTGCTTTACACACAATCTCTTACGATTTGTGTTATTATAATCGATCTATTTTTTATTGTAAGGAATGATTCTGTGCATTAATAGTTTTCTTTTATAGAGTTTAAATATAAGTTCGGACATGCAATGTCGTCTATCAAGCTCTTTCGACTTCAATTCATATGGTACTCAATATCCCTACTGATACAAAGTTGTAGCTTTTGTCATAAAGAACAAAAATTGTCTCTAAAAAAATCTTCAAGTTCAAAATCGCAAAATATTTAAAAAATCAATTGTTTATGTGTTAAAATTAGGCGTACTTAATATTTGTAATATCAATAAATCATTAACACGTATACGTACAGATGTCGTTGATAAAAGCAGTGTAATCACAATGTAAAACTATTTGCTTTGTTTTCCCATGGATCTGTTCCATAATCATGAATGTTCTTGTCAGACATAAATTAGGTGAACTGAGGTAATTTAGCTCCTGATAAAAATGTTATCATCGTGTCCTAAAGTTAAAAAACCCTAGTTTTTGGATGCTATAATAGCTCGAAGACTCCAGATGTGATGGAACTTTGAATAGGGTTCGGCATTCTCATTTGAGAACATCAGATAGTAATGTGTTATTTGGGCTTAATTACATATACACACATACATTTCTATTTCCTATAAGCACTGCTCCATTGTGTATCAATTTTCCTCTTTGTAGAGAATAAGTTATCCCGTATAATTTGGTGTAACAACATTCAATGTTTGTTAAGCATATTATGCACTAACTTTTATACGACGTATACACAAGCCATGAGTTTTTTTCATTTTCAAAATATTCATAGATACACCAACATATGTAGGCATATGTACTATATGTTTGCGTGGGAATTTCCGGTGCAATATATAAATAAGTATGATCGTGTTTGTGTGTGCATATTCAACCGAACTTGAAAAATATAATTTTGGCCAAGAATGAAATATGAATATTGGGGAAAAAACTCCCATATGGTAAAGTTTCCTCATTTCATTTTATTTCATATAAATGTTCTTTTAGCTCTTTTTGCTCTTTTTAAAAAATAAATTTAATTTTTAGTGTCAAATTGTTGGATAAACTCACCGCTACCAAAATGCCCGGATAAAACATACATTTTTGTGATGTTCTTGTAGAGAAAGTTTGTTTAGAAAATTTGATTTATTAAAACTACTAATGGTTATTTGAAAGGGAGTTTATGATGCCAAAAGGAACAGTATCAAATGTGGGAATACATACAATAGCTGTGTGTATAGCTACATGTGTAAAGAATGCAATTTAAATTTATTTATTGGATTAAATGAAAATTTTAGAAACGTTTATTAAAAGAGGAGTGCAATTAACAAAAACTTTTAATATTATCCGATTTTATAAAATTTGAATTTCAGAGGAACAAAAGTATTACGTAGATAATAGTGTTAAAATATTGTAACAGATTTTTAAGTGTAATTTTCATATTAGAAAGATTTTGCGAAAAAACGTGTAAAATCAGCAGAATATTTATTAGTTTATTGGGTTATCTAAATTTGTTATAATTATTCTAATTACTATATAAATAGACTAGACTATAGTCTAGTCTATAGTCCAGTCTATAGTCTAGTCTATAGTCTAGTCTATAGTCTAGTCTATAGTCTAGTCTATAGTCTAGTCTATAGTCTAGTCTATAGTCTAGTCTATAGTCTAGTCTATAGTCTAGTCTATAGTAGTCTATAGTCTAGTCTATAGTCTAGTCTATAGTCTAGTCTATAGTCTAGTCTATAGTCTAGTCTATAGTCTAGTCTATAGTCTAGTCTATAGTCTAGTCTATAGTCTAGTCTATAGTCTAGTCTATAGTCTAGTCTATAGTCTAGTCTATAGTCCAGTCTATAGTCTAGTCTATAGTCTAGTCTATAGTCTAGTCTATAGTCTAGTCTATAGTCTAGTCTATAGTCTAGTCTATAGTCTAGTCTATAGTCTAGTCTGTAGTCTAGTCTATAGTCTAGTCTATAGTCTAGTCTGTAGTCTATAGTCTAGTCTATAGTCTAGTCTGAAGTCTAGTCTATAGTCTAGTCTATAGTCTAGTCTATAGTCTAGTCTATAGTCTAGTCTGAAGTCTAGTCTATAGTCTAGTCTATAGTCTAGTCTATAGTCTAGTCTATAGTCTAGTCTATAGTCTAGTCTATAGTCTAGTCTATAGTCTAGTCTATAGTCTAGTCTATAGTCTAGTCTATAGTCTAGTCTATAGTCTAGTCTATAGTCTAGTCTATAGTCTAGTCTATAGTCTAGTCTATAGTCTAGTCTATAGTCTAGTCTATAGTCTAGTCTATAGTCTAGTCTATAGTCTAGTCTATAGTCTAGTCTATAGTCTAGTCTATAGTCTAGTCTATAGTCTAGTCTATAGTCTAGTCTATAGTCTAGTCTATAGTCTAGTCTATAGTCTAGTCTATAGTCTAGTCTATAGTCTAGTCTATAGTCTAGTCTATAGTCTAGTCTATAGTCTAGTCTATAGTCTAGTCTATAGTCTAGTCTATAGTCTAGTCTATAGTCTAGTCTATAGTCTAGTCTATAGTCTAGTCTATAGTCTAGTCTATAGTCTAGTCTATAGTCTAGTCTATAGTCTAGTCTATAGTCTAGTCTATAGTCTAGTCTATAGTCTAGTCTATAGTCTAGTCTATAGTCTAGTCTATAGTCTAGTCTATAGTCTAGTCTATAGTCTAGTCTATAGTCTAGTCTATAGTCTAGTCTATAGTCTAGTCTATAGTCTAGTCTATAGTCTAGTCTATAGTCTAGTCTATAGTCTAGTCTATAGTCTAGTCTATAGTCTAGTCTATAGTCTAGTCTATAGTCTAGTCTATAGTCTAGTCTATAGTCTAGTCTATAGTCTAGTCTATAGTCTAGTCTATAGTCTAGTCTATAGTCTAGTCTATAGTCTAGTCTATAGTCTAGTCTATAGTCTAGTCTATAGTCTAGTCTATAGTCTAGTCTATAGTCTAGTCTATAGTCTAGTCTATAGTCTAGTCTATAGTCTAGTCTATAGTCTAGTCTATAGTCTAGTCTATAGTCTAGTCTATAGTCTAGTCTATAGTCTAGTCTATAGTCTAGTCTATAGTCTAGTCTATAGTCTAGTCTATAGTTTAGTCTATAGTCTAGTCTATAGTCTAGTCTATAGTCTAGTCTATAGTCTAGTCTATAGTCTAGTCTATAGTCTAGTCTATAGTCTATCCTATAGTCTAGTCTATAGTCTAGTCTATAGTCTAGTCTATATCTAGTCTATAATCTAGTCTATTCTATTGTTTATATCCTTTTCTATAGACTAAGTTTGCAAAAAATATTGTTTTACTTATCTGTACCACTGTGTCCAATTGTTAGAAATGTGTTGTAGTTTGTAAGTGTGTGGTTTTGTTTTATTATAAAATTTATTTATTATTACTGTACATTTATTTCTCTAGCAGCGTTTTCTCCCTTTTGGTTATATTTATTTTTGTACAAAAACATTTTTAGGAAATTTTACACTATATGTATAATATAAATTTCATACATTAAACCCTTTTTTGTTGGCTGTTATATATTCGAAGTTACCATTGCTTCTGACTGCTGTTACAATATTTCGTTTTATTAACACACGTTTGGGTGTTTTTGTTTTTAAAAATTATTACCTTTTTAAAAAAATATATACACACAATATATTTTAACAGTTTTTGTGCAACATCGATATATTTAGTGAAACAATATTGTGTGGTAATTTACTGTTCAAAA